TTCCCAAAAAAAGTGCAGCAAGTTTCTTGGAGAAGCTTTGACAAAGTTAACGGAAACATAACGGAGGAATGGACGGAAGTGACGGACGGTAACAGCCCTACGACGGAAGTTACAAAAAAGAACTATTTTCTTCTATTCTTATAAGTTAAGGGCTAAAACCGTTATATTATAAGGTGAGGGGCCAAAACCGTCCAATTTATCAAGGTAAGGGGCTATTTTTAGGCTTTTGCCGTTTTTGGGGGGGAGGGAGAGAGATGGACTGCGCCGAGAGATGGTGGGGAGTTGCCAGTTGCCAGGGGCCCGTTAGGTCCGGGCCAGGACTTGGTTTTGGGCCTGGGCCCGGACTGTCAACAGGAATCACCAAGCAGATGCAGAAAGTATGTTTGCGCCTCCTAGATTTCTCAGAAAGGCCCCAAAGTGCCAGGCAGATTACATTTAACTGACAGGTAAATTAATACTAAGTATGAAAATTAACCATTTATTAATTATTTATAAAAAGCCATTTTCTGCAAACATAAAAACTCCAGGGAGTACTTAGACACAACAAGAAAATAATAGGTTCAACAAGGATGGATAAGGAGCACCAGGCTCCTCAAACACAAAGAACATTGAAGTTCAGAAAAGATCACAAAAGTAAATCCATTATCCACACTACATCCAGCCACTGGACAATCATGATGAGCATATTATTCGAAGACTTCTAATGGTGGCTCACGCGCTTGATGCTGGCGCTGGCCTTGTTGCTGGAGCTGGCCTTGTTGCTGGAATTGCCCTTGATGCTGGCATTGACCTTGATGTTGGCACTGATCATGATACCAGAGCTGCCCTTTGTGTTGGAGCTGTGCCTGGTACTGGAGCTGTCCTTGATGAGGTTTTTCCCATTGCTGCTGAAGCTGGCCTTGATGCTGTTGCTCCCTTTGCTGCCCGAGTTGCCCTTGTGGCTGCTACTTCCACCATAATCAACTCTTCGAAACTTCTCTTCAACCTGGTATTCGGCATAACCATATTTGTCCCCAACCCTACAAACTTTGGTGTTTGTGTACTCATTCTTGATACCAACTCTTCCTGTTGATCTCTCCTTGAAAATATCTCCATTGGACTTAACCTGTTTCGCTACTGCATGAGCGTTGGCACCAGTGTGCTTGTCCACACAACTTGCCCTTGCAGTTCTTTCATAGGAATTGGAAAAGTTCTCTGACCAATTTTGGGCCATCTCCCAAGTACTTCTGTATCAATTCACTTCCAACCACACGCAAGAAAGTAGCTGATGTTGAATTTGCAACTGCCTGAAGCAAGAAATATGAAAAATAATCATTGGGTATAACATTTAATATTTTAACTGTGAAAGCTAAACTGATTTCATACAACTGACAAAATATGCTACTAAGCATGCTTTCACTTATCTAACTCACATCTACCATGTAACCTAGCAAATAAATAACTTTAAAAATGCTGAACCAGCTAGATACCAACAGTCATCCTTCACAGATGATTTAATGGCTTTCTGTACCTCAAACCCTTGATCAAGGCCAAGAAATCTTTCAAATAAAAATCAAGTCAATTATTCTTGGTTATCTGACCAGAAGCCAATAAAATATCAGAGAGCTGCACTTGTCAAGTGATATGCGAAGGCACAGACAATTCATCACTCAGGCTCATTGAACATTAAATTCAGATCTTCCTAATTGTGCAAAAAGTTACAACCTATATAAAGAGTGCTCGTGTTTTTTAATCACGCATCAAAGTATCAAACATACATGTAACCAATTTAATCTTCTTCATTTTTTAAATTCAGTATATTTTGAACAATAAAGCAAAGCAACACGATCAAACAATGGAAGGAAATGGCCTGCTCTTGACAGCAAGAAGCCTATTTAAAAAATTCTGACAACCAAAGAAAGACACAAAATTCACAGGAAGGCAAATCTGATATGGAAAATATAAATCAAACTAACTGCAAACCAGCGTGAGTTGATGACTGAGAACAATGAAAGGAATATAAAAACATGTATCCACCCAAGCCCACAGAGAAATAGAGAAAGACATGCACCTTGGCAAGCAATGTTTTTCCAGTTCCAGGCTCGCCATAGAGTATAACTCCTTTAGGGGGTTTGATCCCAATATCTTCATATAATTCAGGATGTGTAAGAGGAAGCTCTACTGCTTCTTTAATTTCCTGAATCTGGGCATCCAACCCACCTATGTCAGCATATGATTCCAGAGGAGCCTTTTCAACCTTCATTACAGAGACCATGGGATCAACCTCATCTTGAAGAATTCCAACAACAGAGAGAACCTGAATGCAATATAAACCAACAAAATTCATTAATTCAGATTCTCAGTACATGGAAGACACTCAAAGCTAGCCTATGCGAGCTAGCAGATTTGACATAACAAAAAGTTCAATCAGCAAAAGCATGTCTATTGAGAGAGACAGAGAGAGGGAGAGAGGGAGAGAGGGTTGGGTTCATTGATCACTTGATACAGGAAAATTAAAAATAAAATTTTGGAGACAATCTGCTGTTTTGACCTATATTTCCCTTCCCAATACAAATATACTCCTAGATGATGCTCACAGATATGACAACATTTCCCATGGTAGTGAAACTAATTTTATATTCATTCCTAAACAACGAGTCAAGTTTTTTAATTTGTCCCATTTGAAGCATACATGATATATGTAAGTGCACAAGCTGCATTCTAGATGAGTGAGTGACACTTCAGGAATTTATTAAGGTTGTGTTTGGGAACTTAAATTTGAATTTGATGAGTGTAATTGAAATACATATATGTAAAATATATGTATTTAAAATACATTGTTTGGATTGAATTAAAAAAATGAATTTCAAATACATGTATTTTTAAATACATTATTTAGATATTTTAAAATAATATGTATTTAAAATTGAATTTCTCTATTAAATTAAATCTTCTT